TCGAATTTTTGGTGCAGGTTAAATGTGTTTTGATTTCTTGTTATTTATATTTTTACATCTTTTTCTTTTCGCATTTTGGCAATGATTTGCTAGGAATTTTTCGCGGAAATCTTGGTTTGATTTCCCCTTCTCAAGCAGTCGCATCATTGTTTATATTTACCATTTATTTATTTGTACGTCTATTTTGTTTTATTTACTCGGTCTAAACAAACAGAAATCATCTCAAATTGATTCGAAATCGACACGTGCGTCTAAATGGGAAAAATCTTTTAACATGTTTTTTTCCTAATTGTTGTTTTTTTTTCTTTCTTTCAATCTAATTCATTCGGGTATTTGTTTATCAAATGGTTTTTTTTTGCGTGTTTGGGTTGCAGGAAATGCTTAAGTGGAGAAAAAATAAGCAAATCTGTTCGAAATTGTGGACTCAAAAAAAATTGCCCTGAACTGATGTAAAAAGTTCACGCCACCTACATACATTTCGATTTTGTGTATGAATCCATCAGTATCCCAGAATATGTTGGTCAAAACAAGGCCGTTTCTTTTTAAACGGTTATGCAATTTATCTCAGCTAATTCATCATTTTTTCGTTCACATTAATCTGTCGCATCCTTCAAGTACTTCTGCTATTCAGGTCAGAAAATTACTCACTTAAAGTGTGCCAGTTTCTTTTGATCATATTGAAAGAAATGTTTAAGTTAATCACAACTTTGTCAAGTGCCAAGTCCTTCAAGTGAGTCATGTTCATTCAGCAAAACCAAACCAAAAGCATGTGAGACTTTTATATTTTTGCAATTACAGTAAGTGCTCTATGAAGTGAACACTTTTTTAAAATAATTAAAATATTTTTGTTAAAAACTACATATTTTTCATATCATGTTTTAAGGCTAAGCCACTTTGACTTTTTTTTAAAGTATTCATATTTTGAAAATGTACTACAATTACAATTTAAATAATATTTTAAAAGTCTATCAGATTTTTCATGATTGTTTAATCGATTTTATTAGAGCTACATATAATAAAAAGTTCTGATAAATATGTTTATTGCTGACTTATTTTTTTTTTAATCCACCATATTAAACCTCCACTGTACTCATATTTTCTTTACGCCATGTATATGTTTCTACTCGTGTATCTACGTATGAATGAATTGGCTTTCGCCTAAAACATCTCTGAGTCATCAGAAAGCCGTGATTGAGTCTCCAATAACAACTTGCACCGATCGAGTTGCGACGAAGAAGTTTTTAGCTCTGACTCATCACCGTGGGAGCTTTATATCTTTGGATGCATCCGCATCTAAGACTTAAGATACAAAACCTCTGGCTATATTTTTCGTGTGTGATTTGCCACGCCCTTTCCCCAAGTTCAGCCTACAGCCACGCATGCGCGAACGCTTATCGTTGGATATTTTTTCTCAATTGGGATTTTCATGCGTAATTGATTTTTATGCATTTCCCTTTTCCATCCCGAGATTGTTTATTTATTTATATGCAAAGCGTGCTTAACACGTTTTTCTCCTCTCTCTCTTCGCTCCTCTCGATAATTGTGATTTATTTGTTACTCGGAATTGGGTCACTTGCCAGTCGGAAGGTGAATACAACATTTTATCGAATGCATCGAGGAGGAATGAATTTTCTGGTTTTCGAGTTTATGTAATTTATGCTTTTTAGGGGTTTTTTACTGATTGAAGGGAGTCTCCTTAGTTGGGGTAAATTAAATTCATTTAAAGTAGTTTACATAAATTAGTTTTTTAATAGTTGGAAGATAAATTTCTTGTTTTAAGATTAGTTTTGCGATAAATACTTACAAAATAGATTAAATCTATTGATTATTTTCCAACTAATTGCCCTGCCCATAAGGTGATCTCTGCTGTAATATGCTATTTTAGGGTTTTATTCAACATTATTTGCTTGAGTAATGACTAGAGTCAATAAATAGATTCAATTTACTGACGGGTTTGCGTCATTTGTATTATCCACTTGTTATCAAACAAGTTCTTGAAACCCTTGGCCAATTCCCTTCCCCAATGCCCTCATCAGTCGCAAAGCACACATTATTGTTTACGATTTCAATTAGATGTTGGTCATAAATTATGGCGGCTAATCCCGATCGCGACACCTTACAAGCATCCGCATTTTCACACACCTAAAATGCTAATGACACCTCATTCGAAACCGAAACCGAATCCGAAACCACTCCGACAAATTGTTTTGATTTTGGCCATGAACTGAGTAGCATATCAAAATAATTCAAGTTTGTCTTTTGTTTTTACCTCGGCAAGCATATCTATTTCTATTGCTATTCAAATTCGTGGGATGCAAAACAATAAAAAATGACATAATTGAGGTATTTGAGTGGAACTCACGTTGACAGTGGGCATTAGTTGTGCATTAACTTTCATGTTGGAATCGAGATCACTTTGCTTGGTTAGTTCCCGATAGGTTTGCTCTATAGTAGAGATGTTGGACTTCTCCAAAGGGGTTTTAATTGTTTTTCTGGGGTTATCTCTCAAAGATAAACGGCGCACGCTTCCAAGACGAAAGGTTCCTCTACCATCACTGGAACCACTCGACTTGGTTCGATTTCGACTTGATTTATGAGTGCTATGGGTGCTATTATCGTTCCGACTTTCCCGGGTTTTCTGCTGCTCTTCGTGGGTAATACTCAATGTTGTTTTCTTGCACCACAAGCCGCTCAAACGATTGCCCATGCTATACGGTTTTCACATCAACTTTCCGCGGGATTCAGCACGATCTAACGTTCGAGCAATTAATAATCGTATATTTACAAAGATTCTCGCAACTGCGAGAACTCAGATACAAACAGAAGTAGTAGAATCAGAATCAGAATCGGAGACGAACCGGTGCGCATCTCAATTCGACAAATACTGAAAATGGAATTCTTGTCGAAAACCACAAAATGCCAGACCCAAAACACAGTTGTCCGTCCGTTTATAAGTAGCTTTCGTACCCCTCTCCGGCCTTTTCCGCCTGTGTTTGCTGCTTTTTGGGAGCTTTATAATGCGAACAAACCGCGAGTTGACTCTGTTTGTATCTCGACTGGCACTATATGTGTGCCCCTCGTTCCTCAAAACATCGGGCTTCCCTTTCGGCCTGTGTACTAATCGATTTTTTCTCTCGACAACACAACACTCACTGGGGCTCTCTCCCCGGGAAGATTCCCCGACAAACCCGACAACTAATTAATATGCTCGGGCGCTGTCATACACCCAACTTCATATAATATTAACAACAATCTTCGGCGACTCACGTTCTTTGTGTGTTTGCGTTGAAGAGCTTGTCAAATAGCTAAGAACGGTGGGGATAAAGAAATTAATTGATCTGCAGTTGCAGAATGGTCATGGGAATACCCTATAAGATCGTTGGGAATACAATAATTTGGACGTAAAATAAAGGGATGAGCAATTGTTGAATACTAAAAATATTTAATTAAAAGGAGTCGTTCGAATTTAAATATTTTCGCATTCCCAATACTTTGTTGAATAAAAAAGATTTAAGATTCAATAATTATATATTCATAAATCTAAAGGTATCATAATATTTTAAGAATATATTCTCAAATTAAATATCTTATGATAGGTGATGAATGTATAAAAATAGTTATCTGCAAGATTAGTCCTAAAACTAAACCTAAAATAATAAAAGATCCAATGATCTTATCAGCCAAAGAATAAGGCCCTCCAATATATGGGTCATCGACCAATTTTCTTAATTAAAAGGATGTTGGCTCATCTAATCATTCGATAAACAAATAGTTACTTGTTCCTCTTGAGATACAACTAAGATTACTCGAAATAATCAGTTTCTCATCTTTTTAGGGAGATAACACAATAAATATGTTAAGAAACAAACCCAATGAGATTTTCAATATACCTGTGGCAGGGCATTCGCAAACGAGAAATTTGCCTAACGACGCACGAGCCATGCTAAAAATCAACGCCAAATGCCGATTATTCATAGCCGGTATAGCCATCCAAATAGTGTGGTTTTAGCGCTATATACTGTGAGGCTCGTTTGGCTCGAGTCGTTCCTCTTTCTTCTGACCCTCCCCCTTTCTAATTCTGTTTTGAAAACGTGCTAAATGTTATTTATTAATTAAGTTGACGCTGTTTTCTACCTATTTACCTAAAATGAGCGACGGAGAGGGAGCCGGTTTCAGGAAAGTCGCCAAGTCAGGGAGTGGTTCAGAGCCCAATCCCCAGAGTTCCCCAAGCCAAAAAGAGTCGCGTGTGAGGTGTGAGTTATGTATTTGCTTAAATATGGCACTGTAAAGCTCAGCGTGGTCGGTATTTGCTCTGGAGAGTGCACTTGGAAAACAATAATAAAAAGTAAAATTTGATTTTATTTGAAACAAACAAATTGATATATTTCAATGTAAAATATAAACTCAATGTGTTGGTTTTTAGCAAATTAGTCTTTCTTTGATTTTTACTGTTTATACAAACAAAATATATATATTATTCCCAACTGGTTTCATCAATAAATTATTAATTATTATCCGATAATTTTCGGATATTTCTTTTCTTGTATATCAACTACACTTTGATTATTTCAAGTGTATGCAAAACTATAATCAAAATGAGCCTAAAAAGTGGAACAGGGGGGTTGTAAAACGTAACGAATGAGGGATAACAAAAGCTTGAGTGAGAGTTTATGGACACCATAAAACCAGAGAAGAGCTCCAAGTGAGTCATGACCTTTACTCGCTGTGCTTATTTATAAATAGCCATCGGCAATTATTACGAGTGAGAATTTATAAAGCTAAAAGGGCCAAATAAAGAGAGCAGTGGTAATGTTTCAGACGTATGTGAGCTGGAAATACCCTGTATCTCAATTATTTGTATCTTTAAAATGAAACAAAACCATCATTTTAAAAATTGATTTTCAAATAAATAATTTTGTTCTATAAAAAATAAAATTTATTTCTTTCGTTTGATGAAACTCTCCGATTAAATTTAATAAAAAATAGGTGGCTGTACTTACATTTCCGTAACTTCTAATACTTGAAGGACTCAGGCTAAATAATCTGCCTAGCTGGTGGTGATGCGTTGGTGATCCATTGCTGTTAGCCGATGATAAATCCGTGAACATGGGCGAGTGGGAGTGTTCTATTGTGGTTGAAGATACCATTATAAATGTTTATAAATTAATCAAATTTTTTTTGATATTATCTCTTAACACTTACCACTCAAAACAGGCGACATGTCCTTGGGAAAGGCGAACAGATCGTTGTTGTTTCTGATGTCCGATGAGTTCAAGGTCAGGCTGGGCTTACGAACCCCCAGGAAATTGGATGCCGATGAGGCGCTGGAACAGCCGCTACCTCCCCCCGCTCCCTGGATTCCATAACCCATACGGGTGTGGGCGGTGGTGGGCGTGACATTGGGCAGGTGATGAGATTCCAATGGCGAGGCGGACTTCGGTATTCCACTGCCGCTGCTGCAACTGTTGACCGCTGGAACGCGCTTTAAAATCGGTGCGGGTGGCAATTGCGAGGGGGAGGGCCGGAAAAGCCCCACACTCGGTGGGTGGTTCGGTGGGTCGCCCTGTGATTTCGGTATTGCTAATCGAAGAGTTTGCCGCGCAGCTAGTCTTCTTCCAGGCGCGTATTTATTTCCAGACTGCGCAGCCTGCGACGACTGCGACTGCGGCAGAGGCAGCGACGTTTGCCCAGCACTCTCAGCATGGTGAGCTTGCGCTGCTGTGTGCACCAGCTGTGGTGAATTCATTTTTCGCTGTTACTCTCACTGTGGAGAGCTGTTAATTCTCTGTTCTCTTATCACTCTTGTTGATTCTCCCAATATTACTGTTAACTTAACAGCTGCTGTTACTCTCTGCTGTTAATTCTCTCCGCTTATTTGCCACTTAATTTGTTGTCTATTCTTGATTTTATTATTTGCTCTATTTTTGGTGGTTTTGTTGTGATTGACACTTTTTGTTTTGTTTATTTTGTTGTCGATTAAAATTTGATATTTCTGTGCTGTTTATTCGTTGCAATATTGTTGTCTGTATTTAGTAAAATTTTAGTAAAATAAACTCTGCAATTGAACTAAGTTTCTCAAATGATTTTATTGTTTTTTTTTAAATATACTTTTATTTTGAAAGATTATGTAAGTCTTTTTCAATGCGGCAGTAATTATTTTAGTATATTTGCTGTTTACTTTTCGACTGGTTGAACGTTTTTGTTCATATATACTCCTCTTCAGGCACTTGTTTAATTTATAACCGTTGTTGTCGACGCTTTTTATCAATGAACGTCTGATTTTGTTGTTGGCGCTGTGCATTCAGGGGAACTGCAGCGATTGCATAATTATATATGCACAAGCGTGAGCAAACAAGGTGAAAAGGCTAAGCTGTAATATAAATTAAGTTACAATTGTTGTAGTTTTTGATATTGCAATTTCTTGGAACGTGCCAATGTTGGTTTTTCTTCTTCTCTTTTTTTAGTTTTTGTTTGACCCACTCGTTTCAGCCTATACCATAAATGTTTTTCTCTTTTTTTTTTGTTTACTTTTTAAAATTAACCTGAATTAATGGTTAGAGATAACAGTAATCAACAACAAGGATTGATTGAAACGAGAAACGTTATCTTCTTGGAACCTGTTGTTTCCCACACTTTTTTTCACTGCAAATCGGTTGAACAAAGCATTTCAATTTTCCACCGCTGAACTTGAGAATTGCTACGTGGTCGCCGGGCAAAATGTGAAATCTCCGACAATGAGAAATCTCCGTCCAATTTTCGTGACTTTGCGTGGGACCAGCGACCATAAAAGCCACACGCCATTTAATTCTCGGGTTAATCTGTAATAAATATATACACACATATGGTCATCAGTATATAGCGAAATTCGTTTTAGTTAAATTACTTGGAAACGTGAATGAATCTTAGACTGTTGTCTTTATTTGTCTAGAATATTGTGGGTTGAAAGATCGTCGGAACTGAAACTGCCCTTGAACTCGGTAAGGAGAACATGAGAACATAGTTCGAACCAATGAAGGAATATAGTACTGGTAGATTTCATTATGAATTATGAAAATAGCATAATGCCATGAAATACATTTATTTAATCAATAACATTTCTTTATATACATTTAAGTCCCAAATTAATAGCACTGCCATTTCAAATTGGTAATAGAATAGTTTTTCATAAGCCCAGGCGGCAACATATTGTACATAACGTCAATTACTCTCTTTAATTGGTCGCATATTGACGAACTTTAAACCACTAAATTGGAACCCGTGAAACACACATTCATCCCTGCAATTTATTGGCAATTTATCAATTAGTGAATCGTTAGCCCACATGGACAATGGCAGTAGGCAATTGCAGTGTTAAAGCCTGGTTGACAACTAATTAGCAACAACGTCAGTTGGAGTGCACACACTGATTGATTGCCAAACGATTGGCACGAAATAATAAGAGTTTCGTTCAACGTTCTCGGGGGTTGCCAACAATTAGTAACATTTAAACTCTAAAGTCGGAGTCGCAGAGCGATTTGCATATGACAGGGAGACACTGGAAAACCTGCAGACAGACGGACAAACAGATTAAACAAATCCAAAATGCGAATCGTGAAAAGCCGTTGGCCTCTGGTTTGCCTTAAAGAGCTGCAAATTTCTTGCATATTTGCACACGGATTTACAATAAATTGCAATTATGCAAATTGTGCGAGTCGAATGTTTTGGAGCCGTAGCTCTCCAAACGGCCAAAGATGCCAGACATTAATCATGGCCAGCAATTAGCAATTATTTATATTGACGGGGCGTGTCAATATCTGGGCAATGATAAATGATTTTGGCATTTTTTTGTGCACTAAACTCCAGCCCTGACAAAAAATAGTCGTACTTGGTATCGATTTAAATCGATGCGATTAATCGTAGGTCAAGTTCAGAACTTAGTTGGCCTTGCGTTTGTATTATCTGGAAAATAAAAATAGGTTGACTCCTTTATAATTAAAACAAAAATGAAAATTAAGGCTGATAAACTGAAGAAAGTTGACTCGTCTGCTAAAGACTCAACGAAATCACCTGATTTTCAAAGGAAGATGAAGAAAAAGGCTAAACAATTCCAAAAAGTTCGTTTGTCTGCTAAGGACCCATCAATTTCGCCTGACTTACAGCTTAAAAATAAACAGAAGTCTCTTAAGATGGCGCCCTTACTGAAGCCCGTTCGCAATGGTATTTCCTCAGGATTTGGATTCATGTGGTATTCGATCAACATGTGGTGCGGTAGATTTAGGAAGAAACGATTCTTTATCAATCTAACGCGTTTCCCCAGCCTACTGCCCAAGGTCCTTTCAAACACTTTAGAGTTTATCCACCACCCGAAGTGGAACACCATTTTTCTTTTGACGTCGCCGCAGAACTTTATGAGCTATAAAGCCCGCTTCCCGATGACTTCTATTGTGACGGTGGTACCTGCCTGTGGCACCCAGACGGTCACCCAGACGGTCACCCAGACGGTCACCCAGACGGGCACCCAGATGAGAACCCTGAAGGAAAAAAAACCAAATTGCGCAAAGAGTACGGAAAAGGCGATTAGAAAACGATAACTGAACCACTAAAATAAAAACTACGATTCAAGGATGACCTTCAACGCTTTTCTTTCTGTTCTTTACCAAACTTAAGAAAATTTTTAAGCATAGAAAGGGTTTCTTTTTTACGTGTTTACTACATGTTTCAGCATTACCATTTTTGTTTTACACAAAGCAAGCTGTGATTTTTCATTAGCCACTAAAGTTCCAAAATTCTAACAAAATGCAAGATAACCTACTCATCAATACTCTGGAATCCTTCAACGAATTAACAGATGAGGATCAGAAAAGGTGCAAGGAAATCTTCGAAAGGCCCCTCCCTCTCAAACTGGAAAATAATAAGTACATAAAGTTCACTAATGATATCCTCAAAGAGTTCCCGAATGAAACTGAAGATAAAGCATGCTTCTTGACTTTCCAAATAATATCTTTGGATATCAGTTATAGTGTTCTGATGTTTAGTCTGTGTGGCGTATTCGAAAGTTTCCATTTCGTTTTGTATGCCGGTGTATTAGAAGATGCAAAAGTACCAGGAAAAGAGCAATTTGTCAGTGACATTTTAAATAATTTAATTAAAACTGAGATACCCAAACTTAAGCATTTCAGCATGAAATTTATTTTACTTCGAAACAATTTGATCAACCATAATGTCGTCAAGATTCTCTCAGATATGAAGCAGAGCATCTGCGAAGATTTTTTATTTATTGCTGTTTCTGGATACTGGCGTTTCTCTAATTTACATAATCCTTATGCTAAAAATGCCAGTTTTGCAATCTTAAATACATTGATTTCAGCGGAGAATATAGAAGATCTCTTCAATAAATACAGGAAAATAGCTGAGAACAAGAATCTAAACTATCTAAAGCAGTTTGTAAACGATTACTATAAGCTATCCCTTGTACTGTTGGCTGGCAAATCATCTTTTAGTCTGCACCTTTGTACCTTGGAGCGAGTGGATAATTTTGAGTTGATAATCTGCAGTCACATCAAGGCATATAAGGAGCACAGGGTAACTCGCAAATGGATCTTTCAAATTTTGAGGGCATTGATCATCATCTACGAGCACTAAAATGGTCGAACTAAAAGATTTATTTGACAGCCCTAATATAATTGTGAGATTTCGTGGACGAACTCAAATTTTTTATTTGGTTTCTTTGCTTTTTTTGTGTGATCGTAGCTCGAGAACACATTTTAGCACAACCGCGATAGAAGTCAGGATGGCCGAGTGGTCTAAGGCGCTACGTTCAGGTCGTAGTCTACTCTGTAGGCGTGGGTTCGAATCCCACTTCTGACAATACTTTTTTTGTCTACATTTTATATTGGAAATAGGTAATTCATTCTTAAATATCTTTTCTAATTCATAATTAAGCGAGTAGTATTTCTAAGGCATAAAAATTCCATTGCAATAACATAATGTTTTCATTACTTTTAGTAAATTTAATTTAATGTTTTCAGTTTCAAATTTTTTGTAGTTTCATAAATAGTTAGTAATGTTAATTTCATTTCTAATTTTATATAATTTTTGCGATCCAATCAAAATAACTAAAATTTTGCCACATGAATTTCCCGTTCTCGCTACTTTTATAGTCAGGATGGCCGAGTGGTCTAAGGCGCTACGTTCAGGTCGTAGTCTACTCTGTAGGCGTGGGTTCGAATCCCACTTCTGACAAATACTTTTTTCTTTTTATAACCTAGCAAAGGTATTCCTATTTCAGTCAAAAGTTTGCAAAGCATTGAAGAAGACATTTTCGACCCTATATAGTATATATATTCTTGAATATAGTAGGCATACAAAACGGAATATATAGTTTTTATAAAAATATTTTTCATTTTGCAATAGCTGCAAGAATATATAAATTTCGGCTTACCGAATTGAATTTAAGGAATTCGTAAATTAAAACCATATTGGCATTCATTTTCAAGATTTTGTTTATTTTGCCTTCATGTGTTTAAATTTTTTGGCGTTTATTATTGCTAGCTTAAATTGTGTTTTACAAATGGGTGGGGTGCAAAAACCCCTTGAATCACACAAAAATAATTTCTCTCGCCATGCTGACAGTTGGTCTTCAATAAAAAGTTCAAGCCACTATCTTGTTGGTGTATTGTGCTCCATTCCCATGATATTGGGTAATCGAAGGGGGCATTAAAGTGCATTAGGCCCAAAATGGCTTGTCACGGCCTGAATATGACTGCGCTGCAAAGTCATTCATCATACATTTGACCGTGAGGAAATGGTTCGTTGGGGCATTAATGAAACAAAGTACAGGTTTATGGCCAGAGGAAACCCCTCCCCATCCCAATTAAACACACGAAATAGCGCTGATAACTAACCCGTCCAGACCTTGTACAAAAAATGGATCTGTTTCCCGTTCCGAATTTGTTGACGCAGTGGGTTTCGCGATACTGATGATATAGAAGTGACCCAGCCAAATGGCATTGAGCCCCTGCCCTGGAAATGCAGAAATCAAAATCCAATCCAACTGTGTCAGCTTCGACTTGCTTTGTTTACAAACAAACAAAGCAAAGGGAAATGCACACTTCACTTCATTTTGCTTATTAAATGGTGTCAGTTTTATATTACTTTCTGCCAATTCGCAATCCCCCACCTTTCTTCAGTGCTGTCATTTCTTTGGGTATAACTTTTCCGCGGTTTAATGGATTTTTGATGCATTCTAAATGAATAAAAATTGCGTGCGCAATTGTTGCTCGACTTGAGCAACGTCGCTGACCCATTTCGATGATTATAAATGAGTATAACTTATCAAGCGAAACTTGCCTTGAAACTAAACTGGGTTTAGCTGTCTGCTTCCCCCTTTTTTCCGCTCCAGCACTTCGAGTGCACTATAATTTGTTTATTTTAACAATATCGGCAAGGGAAAGGCAACAAGTTCAATGGCAAAAATAATTTCTCGCCGCTTGTCAAAACATTTTTCGATTTGATTTTGAATTTGTTCGTTTCGATTTGGTTGTTTTCCTGCGATAAACAAATAATTAACGGAAAAATGCGCAAATGCAAATTACGTCCATTGGCAAACACATACATATGTCTATAATCATATCTATCTGTACTACATGCGTATGAAGATGTCGGCATCTAGTCAAAGGCAAGTCATAAACAATGCCAGTCTATTCTTCGGCTGCAAATGTATCTTCCCGCACAGTGTCAAAATTTAATTTAAATATTCCTCTATGAGTAGTGAGCGGTGGAAAACTGTCGTGCTGGTGCTGCTGCTGCTGCTGGCCAAAACTCATTAAAATATCCATTTCCCCAAAAGCGGAATTCGCAGACTCTCGCGACGAAAAGCTTCGAGCAGTCGTAATAAATAATACAAAATATTAAAAGACAACAAAAGACGGCCGCCGCTTAATGAGAAGGGTTCGGTTTTTTTCTCGGCTCCGTTCCCAAGGCGGGTGCCACGCCCCCTTGAACCGGATTATTATTAGCCAGCTCATTTTTGGCTCGAATCGAAGAATGCTGCGGGTCTTGACCTCTTTTCCAGTTACGCTTTTTGGGAAATCCACAGAGATATTTATATATATTGTATATTCTGAAAGACCTTGTTTTCTTTTGTTCGCTGGCAGCGATTGTCTGCGATTTCAACGCCTGCCCAACCCCGAAACCCAGAGATAAGATATATCTGTATGAAAACGACTTTGTAAACAGTTTGTCGGCATTTGTACAAAGTGCAGCGGCAAAGCAGCTGATCGAATCGATTTAATTTGCAATTATTCCGTCATAAAATTGCACAGTTCTTGTTACCTAACCCTCAATTGGTTTTCTAATGCCAGCAAATTAACGTCCACAATTATTAGCCGACAACACAAATAGTTAATAAATTTTCAAGTCACAACGCTCAATTTGTCCCAAGAAAGTTAGTTAATTTGCATAAAGACTCGGACAATCTGGTTGGTTCGTGTTATGGCAGTTTTCTATAAACAACTTTTTATAGCAGACGTCCAGTAAGAGAACAAGCGCAAAACGCGCATTTGGTATGCTCATCCCATGTGTCAGGATGGCCGAGTGGTCTAAGGCGCTGCGTTCAGGTCGCAGTCTACTCTGTAGGCGTGGGTTCGAATCCCACTTCTGACAAGATTTTTATTTCTTTTTTGTAAATACAATTAATTAATTAAATTACTGTTTATACGAATTAACTAATTAAAACCGAACAAATATTACGAATTCCTTACAAATATTAATTGCATTTGCTATAAGTTGAGAAGATCTAGTGTAGATTACTTTTCTTTTGTTTTTATTTTACTTATATGAAATCTATATTCTTATAAAAAAAAAGTAGCTTTTAATTTAGATAATTAAAGAAAAACACGAAAAATAACTAGATTTCCCTCAGACCATTTTCTAGTTCTCGTTACTTTCATAGTCAGGATGGCCGAGTGGTCTAAGGCGCTGCGTTCAGGTCGCAGTCTACTCTGTAGGCGTGGGTTCGAATCCCACTTCTGACAAAACTTTTTTTTCGACTTTTTAATTTTAATTTGTCTAATCAAATTGTTTATTGTTTCAGGTTATTTTGGCCAGTTTTTAGTTGCCTCCTAATAAGAATAACAATTCGATTGTGTGAATCTAAATAAATATGCGCGTGTGTCGGTGTTCTGTTCAAGGCGTAAACAAAAACATGTGCAAAAGGCCAAAACTTCAATCAAGTGAAATGGAAATTGAAAATGTACAATGGAAAACATGTGGGAATACGCAAATCAAATTGTTTGGCCAAGAGAGAAAGAACGCAGGCGGCAGGTCATACGGATGGAACATATGTATGCTTCCCGGAATTGCCAAAATTCCGCACTTGCGGCTCCACTGGGGCTCGTTGTTTTCAGACTATGTGGGTGTCGTCTGTTTAGTTTTTTGGGAAAACTAATTTGATTTTAATAAACTTGTTGCTTGGATAAATGGCAGCCATTGCTCCGCGTGGAAGGTGATAACTCATGGCGCCTTCGCCGTCTGTGTTTAACTTTTAAATTACTTGTTGTTTTACTTTTTGTGGGTAATTTATTCGGCTGCCCTTTCATTGATTGACTTGACTTTTATGTGGATTTTTATAGGCGTTGCATTGACGTGTGTATGGGCAGAAAAGCCGAAAAAATCCCCAAAAATGTATACAGTTTCGGAGTTTATGACTCTGCAAGAAATACGCCTTTATGTTCACTCAGTCACACACAAACGGAGAATCTTAAGTGCACAGAAACATTTTGGGTTTTATAAGGAACGGTTCGATAGTTTTCTTAAAAAAAATTTTTGCAGACATTTTTTATATACTTTTCCTTTTCAGATTGAATAATTTTTTTAAATGATTTACAATTGAAAATATATTTTTGTAAATGGAGAATGACCAATTAGTCATTTTAGACGTGATCTAAGAAATTCCATTTCGGAAAATCTTGGGCAACCGCAACCTACAGAAATGTTTCATATACGCCTTCGCTTATTTTGAATTACCCAGAAATAAAAATCAGATTAACATAAAGTTTTTGGAGTTGTTTTATGATCTTGATTATAAGAAATGTATGGGCTACTAAATATTAAACCAAGAGAGTTTTAGATTTTTCTGTGTAATTTTGTAATGTTGAATGTTAAACTTACAGTGTTCGCGACTTTTGTGCGATTTAACTGCGTTTTACAAGCGATTCGTTGGCGTTTTTTCAGATAAACAACGGAAGCTGTTTTTTCTGGATTTGCGATTATACGGAGGATGGGAATTGGAAATTTTCGTTTTCTCAAAATTCCTGCAAGTCAATCAACCCGTCATTTTATGCTGTTGATAATTCATTTTTAGCTTTTTCTCTTCGTCGGCTTTTCGCCTTTTGTTGTTGCTATTCTGGTTGTTATTGCTGTTATTTATAGACGCACACATGGAAGCGCAGCCAAAAAAAAAGCGCACGCACAAAACACACACATGTCACAAAGAAATTTTTTGTAATTGCACGTTGCCGGGGTTTTTTTTTATATCTTCCCTACATTTCTGAGCACATTTTATAGCACGATCTTTCGTTTTATTATTATAATCTGCAGCAACAAAACAAAGATGAAAACACACAGAAACAGAAAACTTGTAAATCGCGCGATGTTTACTGCGACGCTGCCGCAAACGAATTCGAGGCGG